TAGGCGCAAGCCGATGATTACTTTCCTCAGTTGTAAGTGGTTCCTCTCTGCCAATGAATCCATAGGTGTGAGGAGTCTTTCAGAGTTAGAGTCTGAGCACTCGGTCCAGGTCGCTATGATAACTGCTCGTAAAGCCGAGCTTGCTCAGAAACAGAAGAAGAAGTCTGCCAAACCTCCTCTCTCAAGCAAAGACGATGAAGAGCTCCTTCCTACTGACGATGATGACGAGACTTCTGAGGAGGAGTATGTGGATATAGATATCGACCAAGAAGAACTTGATGCAGGTTTGTCATACTCTTTGATCCTCTTTCTCAACTTCAATTGATATCAACGAAAGATCTGGTTCATTTAATGAAATAATCCTTATCATTTCAGGTAGGACAGCCGACGACCATGAGTCGCTCGCTTCCCGTCGTGCGAGATTCAGGCCTGGTGGCCAAGATCCTACCCAGGTTGATACACGTGGCCAGTCCACGCACGAACGACCCGTTGGTTCTATGAGGGGTGATATTCCGAAAAAGAAAAAGATCGCTCATAAACCACACGTTGGTCAGCGCTCCTATGAAGTGGATTTAGGAGACTTCGCCGACAGGGAGGAAGGTAATACTTCGTCGTTTTCATTGCTTTAAGATGACTTACCTTCTGGGATTCGTAATCATGTTTTATGTTCCAGGGTTCTTTGAAGAGGGCGAACTCCCATTGTCTCCCGTATTCACTGGTTCTGATAATATGGATAGCTTCATGGAGCAGATGTGCGACGCCCTTCGTGACGGTTCTCTGGGTATCGATCTAAACATTGATCTTGGACAGGTGAATAGTGTCGAGCCCACCGTTCCATATTCAGGTATATCTACATCCGATGATACCCTCCTCAAACATGGGGAAAGAGAATCTTCTGTTCTTGCTGCAGGTATTTCTGAGCTTTCCCTTCTTCCTTATCTTCTTATACATATCTCCAACATTTAGGTTGTCCTGCAGATGTCGCGATGGAAAAGCCAGCTGAGGGTCAGATCTTTCATGATGTAGGTTTCGAGGAACGGGGGTGTGCTTATGTTGGCTAGCAGGCCACCAGAAGAACCGTGGGACCACCCTTTGAGAGTGATTCATTCATAGGTATATATCTGATTCCCTTCATCTTGCCTGATCTTTTGTCTGACTAACGAAGGATTAATATTACAGCGCCAGTCATTGGGATTAACCCAATATCGATTCCCGGCATATCTAGCTTACCTCGGAGTGACGGACTTGCAGGTACGCATACGATTTAGGGACATCGTACTCCTCTTTATTTATCTGACTTTTGACTAATATATGGGTGCAATCATAGGACCAGCCACCGGGACTGATTCTCTTATGATTCCTGGCATTCCCCAGATACCTACGGATGATGGACCTACAGGTATGCAGATGACCTTATCATCCCGATCCTCCTTATTTGTCTAAATTTTTATTTTGACTAATAAAGAAGTGCAACTATAGGACCAGCCGCTTGGGCCGATACTCTTATGACCCTTGGCATTCCCGCTGCATCTGAGGATGGTGGGATTGCAGGTATGCATACGATCTTCTTGTCCCGATTCTCCTTATTTGTCCAAATTTCCATATGACTAATATAGGAGTGTAACTGTAGGACCGGCTGTTGTGCCTGATACTACTACAGTTCCCGGGGCTGAAAGT